CTATGAAATACACACATGCACACTTGTCTATAAAGTCCCTGTTATTGTCCCTGACTTGTGGGACCACTGAAGACATTCACACGGAGGCTCTCATTCCCCCTATAGCTCGGTTTCTGTGCGCACGGCAGACAAGGCTCCTCGCCCCCACAGAGGAATGTTGGCGCGGTCCGCGGCTCCCCGGCCCGGAGGAGAGGCGATCCGCGGCCCTAGCTGCACCGCCGCTATAAATCACAGCCTCCCCTCGCTGCTCCCAGTCTCCCTCCAGCCTCCGTGTTTTTGCAGCAGTCAGAGGAATCCTTCGCTTAATTAATTTAGAATGTGTAAATAAAGCAAGGACAGTGAACTCCCCATCATCTCTGGAAACACAATATTAACTTTGGAAGATCTTCGCCCCACCGTCTCTGACACACTAAACGAACACCTGCTCCAGGAAAAAAAGACGAGACACACACACACACTTGAAGAGGGTAAGGGGTATGAATGACAGCAGATATTAGCCTGCAAAGACCACCAGAATATGCTACACCCTGTTTTACATAAGACTGGGGAGGTATATAATAAAACTTCTAAGGTAACATCTGGCCTTATCACACTTAGATGACACCTTCCCTCTCTTAAAATAGGTCTTATTACTGATGTGAGAAAACAAAGCACTTTCCCGTTTTGCCTCAGACATGACTGTCTTATCCGTGCACTTGTAGCTGTATTTCCCTGATATGACAGTGACATGGTTATACAGATCAGCCACTTGTTCTAACACCACATAATTCACGAGCGCACAAAAAAAATCCTATAACAGAGGCATCATGAGAGTCAAAGACAAAAAGTACAGTGTAAAAGTACATGAGTAGAGTAATGGCAAACAATTTAAATATAAAACATTTACTGAAAATAAAAACACGTTTGTATAGGCAGAATCTCAGTGGTCTGTCAGGTGTAGTCTCTATTTCAGGAGTAGAAATGTGACATCCACTTAAACTATTGTGTTGATCATGTATCATTTGGCAAAGTTGAGATACCCTCTGGCTCCCCCTGTTTTCACCACCACCAGTCTATCCAGCTATCTATCTGTTTTGCATGGGGTCCTACCCCTCAGCTTAGGCACCAAGACTATCAGCTGGTGTCCTCGGTTTGGCTTCACTAAAGGAAAGGCGAGTGTGCAGGGCTTTTCTCTATTGCTTTGACAGAGAGGCGCAGCAGCTGCTGGTCGCTCGCGGTCGTGTCATGCGGGCGCGCCTGGATCCTTCCATTCAACCTTTGGTGCCAGCGCAACGCAGCCTGGATCCAGCGGTTCGACCCATTTATTGCACCATATAATTCCATTAAGTATTGGTTACGGTTTATCCCTTTTTATTTCCTTTGTACAAAAATATTAACATCCCTTCATCGAATTAAATCAGTGAAATTAAATTTGTCGTCACCCAGACAAAAGTAGAAGGCGAGGTTCAGTTGTTTAACCTGAATGTCAACAGTAAATGTGGACCTGCCCTTCAGTTTATTCTTGACATAGAGTGATTTTAGCTCTTTGTGCCATGGCCTGTGACAATTCAAAGTAACATTCTTAAAAATCAGCAGCATGTATTTTATAGGCTAATTAAAAGGACAGATGGTGTTTTTTTACGTCTCTCCACAGCCACACTAATGTTGCACAGACCAGGTAATGAAGCCTTTTCATAAAGTGCAGTTACTATGAGACAGCTTCATTTGCTCTGCAGTTTTTTCGGCATTGACATCCAGCCAATGTCTCCTAGTGTAGGCTAATCATTATACTTCATCCGTGCAGGTAAATCAGTGAAATAAACAACGTCAGCTCTGGGTGTGCTACAAGAAATACCAAGAACACTGCACCCTCCTGTGCCCCTTACGAAAGTTGAAAATGAAACTTTGTTTAAGTTGACATTTAATATTTT